GCCATTCATAGAAATCCTCAACTGTTGCTAAAAACCATCTGTACATGTCTTATGAGCAACCAACATATACAAAGTGATTGCATTATTCCGCTTGTCTATAAATTTTTGTCATAATATAAACGTGAAACAACTCTCTCTCTCTCTTTGAAACCTAGCATTAATTCAGCAAGTAAAAAAAATTTGTTTTCTTGTTTATATATTTTGCCAAACATTATACCTAGCCGAAGTCGTTGACATTTATAAAGCACTCATATAATTTCAGTAATTCCAAGTCAGATTAGTTTTTTATTGCTACCTCGCTCTGCCTACTCGCTCTGCCTTTTTTACTACAAAAATAAAAAAAGGAGATAAACTACAGCAGCAGTTACTGAACAGTGATTCTCAACAATTAACTCCTCAATTTACGGTTAATAAAAAAAAAGAACAGGAACAAAAGTACACAAACGTTCGGCAAGATTATGCTGGAAGTAACAAAGATCTATTAGTTTTATAGACTTGGAAGCTTAACGGAACCAAATTTCCAGGGTAAAAAACATGTTTACATAGATAGTACAGAAAAAAAGAACTTGAAACCACACAATCATACAATTCTTATAGAACGATCATCATAAATGATCATAAATGCATCATAAATTTCAATCATGTGATGCTGTTATCATAATGATATACGTTAACAACTGCTTGATCAACAGTCCGCAACTATATTCCATGTCCCAATTGCCATAACCAATATCAACAGTTCATACTGAATTTACTGTCGACATGGAGAAAACTTAGAAACTTTTCCGTATCAAAAATAGTCCTAACGCTCACACAGGGGTCTCTACACAAACCTATTTCTTGCTTGAACATTTTTGACTTTCCCAAAACCAAATTGGGAAAATCCATCCGAAAAATGATAGCTATCGACACGGATTAATAACCTTGGTCGTCCATGCAAAAGACGTTCATCAGCAAACTCTACACTTCAATCACCATCACTTCCACCCTAGGCGCAGTTCAGAAACGTTTAGCATTGCCTTTAGTTCATTTACAGAATGATTTTTCTGCTACTGAGAGGAATTTGGAGTTGTTCATAATATTTATGATTCTCTATGAAACAAACATCTCAAAGAACCTTTGGAACGAGAATAAGGAGCCCATAAAAAAATCACTAGGCACACGCCAAAGGCAGTGTCATCCAATTGAAATTTTTTCTTACCGCTAATTTTAAAGGCTGTGAATCTAAAATAACCATAAATTTACACACTTTTCTGAGAAAAAAGTACCGATAAGGCAAAAATAAATGAGAACAGAAGTAAAACATTCAACGAATACATCAATACTGATATTAAAAAAATATTATCTCCTGAGAGCACTTGTCAGACACTTCACATCGACTGAGATGCAAAATACTTTCAGACACTGGTCAACTTGACAGATCCAAATGATTGAAAAATATCAAATAACTCCCTACAGTGGCACACAATAAATCATAGTGACACTACTTTTAAGAAACTTCAAAATAACATTAAGAAGGAGCAACAGGAGCAAGAAGAATACGGAGACTTCAGACCGAGTTAAAGTATCAGCCAAAATTCAGGAACTGAAGAGAAACATTGCCTCAAGAAAACAAAAACTCTCCAAAACTAATGCAGTCTTCTGAGTGGTGCTTGTAAGCGACAGTAATACAATAATGTTCCAGTAGTTGCGACAAAAGCTCTTTTTCATCAAGAAGCTCGATCCTTTCAATTCTGTAAAGCATTTAGCAGTTAAAAATAAAATTATTCAGTATTGTCGTAAAAAAAGATAACAAAACTGGCAAATAAACACTGATAAAAAATGAGTAATTAACTTCTAGCTAAAATATTAAATTGAAGAAAAAATCATATAAAAGTAAAAAAAAAACACTGCTTTTTAAAAGCACCAGACTACAAAAGGATAGCGTCAACAAGACCGCTATAATAAAAAAAAACAACAGGTACTACAATACCAACAATCTTACAGCACTTCAGTTTTCTAAAAACTATTAGGGTTCAACAAAAATTGCTGCCTAAAATAAAAACTTTCAATTTTCAAAGTTATGAAGCAGGATAAAATAGAAGCCTTACCGCAAACGTTCTTCTTTTGGTAATATTTTATCATAAATTTCCCACATGTCCCAAACAGCAACCTTATTCCAGCCATTTTCAAGAAATCTAAAACATTTAACAAATGTATTACTCTAAAATACGACTGGTATTTCGTCATTGTTGAGAGAATACGCACACTGACCTCTCGCTTCAAACAGTAAAATCATATATATCTTAAAACATAAATAAAGAATGAAGGCAAACCGATTTTTCTCTGTATCCAGCGATTCGCAAAAAGACAAGCCCTCTAACACTATCCCACGCTGTTGCAGGTTCCTTTGCATTACCTCACCAAAAGAATCTTTCAAATTCACCTAAATTTAAACCAATAATTTCATAAAAGCTACTGGAGTGAGCCAAATTCCGAGAGAGACGGTTATATTAGCGCAAAACCAAAGTATCTGCTAAGAATCATTACATCAAAAATATTCTAACCTGTTCATAATTAATAAATACAGCTGTATCAAACCAAGTAGCCAAAGTTTTCACGAATTCAGCACTTTGGTAAGCATGCATGTATACCAAGACGCATTCGCAAATAAATAAAGTAGGAGCTTTGAAATCAACTGCAGCAGTTTCAAATTTCGACTTTAATTCTTGTTTTTGTCTAACATCAGCACCAATTAAGCAATAATCCCCAGCAAGGAAATCTGCATGTTGCGCCTCCTTAGCTGAAAATCAAAAAAAAGTCTTACTGACATAAATTAAGACAACTTCTCCAGAATAAAAATTATTAAACAAAAGCAGGGAGAGGAGGATTTCAAGGAACAACACTGCATAAAATTGTTTAGGACCCTTGTTTTCAAAATATTTGTTGAGCAAGCTTACGAGTTTCAGAGAAAAAGGATGCCAAGTGAGACTTGTTTTTGTGGATCTGACGAATTTTTTTAGCAGTAACGGAACTGAAATCTACGTCCACATACTTCCCAAACTGAAGGGAATCTTTTTTTAAACGCCAATATAATGTATCATAACCGGCTCCAATGTTGATTAGCTGACACGTTGGTCCAGCAGCCTGAAAAGCCCTTACCAAACATCTAGTTTTCAATTAGCATAAGGTAATAATATAAAAGTCTAATATAGATATGTTAAAGAAAAAACTTCAAATTACGCTTTAAGCAACATAAAGGAAAAAGTAAGGAGCTTTTTCAACACTTTTGCAATAACTGACCCGTATAAACTTGTCGACGAGTGTACGAATAGCAGTTACTCTCGCCCAGTAACCACGTGAAATTTCAGGATCACGTCGATTTACGTGGTCGCTTGGTAGTGAAAGTACATATGGTAGAAACTCATCATTGTAGTATCCCATCTAAAAAAAGTTTATAATGAAGTAAAAATTATAATAAAGTCTATTGGTAACAAAAGTTTAGAAAATGGAAATTACACGGTAAAAATCAACTCATAACATGCCATTATACAAAAACGTTACTAGAATTTTAATATTAACAATGAATTTATAACAAGCGTTATTTAATAAAGGAATTAAATTGCGATAAAGGAAAGTAACCAATATAATCTAACAACTATAAATAGGCTAAAATACGGGTGAGACGATAACTATTTGAAAAAACTTCAAAGAAACAAACTTTGACTGCAACATATTTACTTTCTGCAGCATCATCATTTGTTTTTTGTACCGAGTAGTCATCCGACAAAGAGGTTGATCGTCGCCGTTGTATAATTTCAGCACTGAATGTATTACTATGAAGTCCACGGGCCGACCTTCTTCCACCGTTTTCATCTAGCGGTATTGGGTAGTCAGTTTCCATCTCTGCCAAATGAAGAAAAAAATAATTCAAAAAACCGTACACTAGAAAATATTTAAGATAATAAAGCTTCCAAAGATTCTTAAAATATTGGCGGGTAAAGAACTCCTCCAACACTGAGTGACCAACTGTCACCCAATTCAAAGAATTCATCAAACGCGGTTTTCAGAAGACTGTGAACCTCCAAAAGCTGATCACTGTTACACGATTTCAATATTGGAGTAGAGAAAAAAAATCTATATTGGGAAACGAGATTTCTCTCCAACCACAACTTTTCGTCAAAAAATAATCATGCCGAACTCCCGAGCTTCTCTAGCTTTGAGAGACCGTGACTGGTCTACCAATCACCAACTTTTTTTCCGTTTTTCTTCACAGCAAAATGACAGATTTTGTATTCCATCGCGAACTCGCATAAACCCGTCACTTTTTACCAACTTCCTTTTTTATCCCTTACCCATTTGAGAGCTTTTAACTTCATAATCCTGACCTTTCCTACCTCTACTACTGCCCCCACCTTATGAGCCCTCTTAAGTTTACTTCGTTGAAAGTGGTTAAAGAAGATTTTCTGACTTAGTTTTCAAAAGGCCTTTAAATGATAGCAACTTTCTCTTGCACTTTAGCACAGTATAAATACGGTATAAATACTACAGAAAGCCTTCGTTTTATAGCCTTTCCGAGAGAAAATAATAAATACCAAAAGAAATACGTAACAAAAGGATTTTGACGAAAAAAAAAACAAAATCGAGGCCAATATAATAATGTCAAAATTGAGCATGCTTTGCAAGATTTCAAAGACACATTCAACAGCTGGTAACAAGAAAAAAATTTTCTGTCAAGCAAAGCTTTTAGAACGCAAGACAGCATTGATAATCTGCATAACAGCTTGTTGTTTATGCTGTAATCCAATCAAAAATCAATCTCCTCTTATGTAACTTTTTATGCTGCCCATAGTATACCATGCGGACACTAGTGAAACTAAAACCACATAGCCATACACGGTTCTCAAGAAGACAAATCCTTATTCTGCAAAAAAGCAAATTGGTGAAATTATTCAGCGCTTTGGAATTTTGCCAAAGTAGAAAAAAATAAGACGACTTAATTCTTGGCGCCCATTCTAAAAATTTAAGACTGTAATGCATCAGAGATGCAAATTTGCTACTTTGCTACTAATTTGCTACTAAACTTGGTCCTATGTAATTTATTTTAATCGCCTTAAGACCAACAAAGTTGCATGGTTTTTGCCCAAAGTACTCGAACGGGGCTGATTATCGGCAGTAATGGTTGTCGGTTCAATGAATGAAAGACCAGTAATATAGGAGTTGATTTCTTGACTTTTGATAAGGATGTAGGAGGAAGCCAGCCAGAACCACTAGAAGCTGTTTAGATCCGTATTATGGGAAGCACCGTACAGCACAATCGTTCTACAGAAAAAAAAAAAAAAAAAGAAATGCTGAAAATGGTACTAATAA